ATATATATATATATATATATATATATATATATATATATATATATATGTACGTATAAGAGTGCGATTCATATTTATTTGAAAGTGCAAGCACGTCCCATTGGTCTCGACTGTTCAACTGTAGACAGTCGGGTGTCACACATTCCACGGATAACAGGCACATTAACGCTTGATTTGGAAGTTGTCTAACAAAGATAGACGAAAGGGCAATGCACCTGGTAGAGGTAGTCGTAAGACCGCAATGACCAAAGTTCGTAATGGTACACGTATGCATACACGTACGCGCGTGGCGAAATGACCACGGGCGAATAATGGCTTATATCTCGGCTAATGTCGTTTACATTGAAGATATCGACCGACACACAGTCTATCATTCCGCGATTTCATTCGAACGAACGCTGCCTTAGCTTCGAAGTTGTGCGTGTAATTAAAAGGAGAAAGTGCAATTAACGACTCAGGTAAAACATGTTCTTCGTCGGGCTAAAATAGAACTACATGTGCGAGCAAATTCAACTTGCCGATCGAACGACTCCGTCTTTTTTCGTAGAAATGCAAATCATTTAAAGGTGGATAGGTAATCGTTTTGCCAGACGATTTTGCGGGGGATTACTATGTATTTCGAGAAGAATACGAATACGCGATAATTACTAATTATTTATACTTGGTCATTGCTGCGGCCCGCAGGGGTGAATCTCGTAGTGCACTTAAATATCTCTCGCGATAAGCAATACAAGGCACATAGTAATATGTAATAAATAAACAGGGTCGGTTATATCGGTTAATCGGTACGCTTGAAATATTGGATCATTCGTTGTTAGATCGATTATAGAAGATTGACACGATTGACGGATAGTTATCACGTATTATCATACGTCACGTTCGAGAAGTATCATTGAATCTCTTCTCATGATCGAGAAATTTATCTTTTTATACTATATTATTCTTATATCTTACCGACCCTGGTGATAATTCGTACACTTTGGCACATAACCGATACATAATGAAATCGGCTAACACGCAGAATGCTTCACCGATAACTGCCATAATATATGTTTTGTACTTTTATAATAAATACGTAGGATAAGGGGTAACACAAAGGATATATATTGTAGCGACGACATTACAAGATTAAGACGACGTGTGTTTATTCGGTTCACAGAAATGCAAGGACACAGTGTGCAAGGGAATACCAAAGCAAAGAAATATACGACGAGCAATGTCGGCACGTTGAGGCTATTAACATTGTCATTCAGAGCTTTTCATTTCTCTAGAGACTCGTAAATCAATTTTCTCACGTCCAGATTGATTTTGTACCATAGCGTATTTGTACGTTTCGTCAATTACTATTATTCGATGAGTAGTGTGTAATCTATTTCACTCGTACGTTTCGACAAACGTATTCATTTGTAAATTATAACCAATTATTCAAACTATCCCAATTCCAGTGCTCGACGCTTTATTTCGCGAGTACGTTTAGTGTCATTACTGCTATGCACGAATGAAATGAATCCGCCATATTATATTATTATCGTGAAATATGCGTTACTATCGATAAGTATATCTACAGTACAATTAAGTTGTACGTAAGTACCTGCTTAATTAAATGCAGAGTATTCTAAAGTATTTTTTCCCCCTTTCTTCGTCAAAATGAAATTCTCCAATTGAAAATGATTTCGCGCAGTTGCTTACGATGTAAATTTATTTGTATAATATCATGCGGGTCCTGCAAATATTTTTATTGAAAAGTGAAACATCGTACCTATCAGATTTATTAATTAAATTATAAATATCGCTATGCACGATGGGCATCTTTAATACCATCACAAATGGTAATCTGTTTCTTTTCTCAACGATTTGCAATGTGATATGATTATATAATACATCCTAATTTCATTTTTTTACTTAACGTTAGTAAACATGCTTCTGTAAAGGTAGCTCGTAATCAGTTCTTGTATTTCATATATTGTATAATATATACCGCTAATAACGTTAGTTTTATTTAAGTACGACATTATTCTGTTAATTGTTATATTTTGTTGAGCAATAAAATATTTAATTATGAATCTCTTACAAATGCAGTAAGTGTAATTGATTGCAAAACAGATATATTTGTAAGTAACAAATATATTTTTATTTTTCTTAAAGTGCACGTGTATTGATACAAAAAGTAAATTTGGTAAACATCACTTTTGTTACGATAATCAGTCTGATATAAGATAACATCTACGATAAAGTAATACACAAAAATGCAGTATAAATTATATTTTTTGGGAACGTTTGATAATTTAATTTTAATCTCAATGATCCTCATAATACTCATATATGCAGAGGTATAAAGTGAGACATTGTATTTATTTATTGTAGCGTCGATGGCAGATGAATTTTTATTTTTTCTTACTTTTACCTAGCGTTAATGTATGATGTTGAGGTTGTTGAGCGAATTGAGTTTTTCGTCTATTAAATTCTAAAATATCGTCCTCGAGCTTCTTCCTACTTTCCTCCAACTTTTTCTTTTCTTCTGTGTGATCTTTTTTCAATTTATCGAATTTGTTGTGCAGCTGAATAATACGTGCAAAAAATGAAATTATTACATGTACCTTTTGAAGGATTAAAAACTAGACAAGTACGAGAGATTACCTCTTTCTCTGCCTCCTTTAACTCGGCCTCTTTTTCCTTCACTCGTGCTACAAACATCTGTCGCATTTCATCTTCCTTCTGTTGGAGCTCTTGCAAGTGGATAGATCTTTTTGCTTCGCAAGTTTGTTGGAAACTAACTGGTTTATTTTCACTATCAACATCGCTAAATCCCATCTGAGCATCATAATGATAAATAATTACACCTTGAATCTTTCAGAAATTTTATTTCATGAGAAAAATTACCTGTTCCAGCCGCTTTCTACGATATAGTTCATAATGACGACCATGTGTCTTTTCTCTCATATCTTCCATATTTGTTCTTATTAACATTTCTCGCAATTTAACAAAGTCACAATGAGATTCGTTCTCCACTATAAAAAAGAGAACCGTACGATTTAAAACAATCTATATATTTTAATGTTGACAGACAATTTGCAATTGTATTTTACCTTGTACCGTGCCCCACGGATATTGACGAGAACGCATCATTTTGTTTCCAACTCGAACAAAGTCTGTGCTCCCAACTACTGCGAAAGGTACATGAGCATTCATACTAGTATTTATTTCTGTAACGCTTTCATCGTCCGTAGGAAATTGATAGATATGAACTCCATTATTTTGCAATTCGGATATAATTTTAGTCTGCAACAAATGATAAATATAAAGAAATTGATAGATAAATATAAGTAATGCTTATAACTTTTGTCATACCTTAAACTTCTGCAATTCCGTTTTTGATATTGTATCAGCTTTAGCAATAATTGGAATAATATTCACCTTTGTGTCAAGTTTCTTCATACAGACTAGATCAATTGATTTTAATCTGTAATTATACAGTTGCAGCTAATAAAGAGATAAAAGTAACAAATTTTTCCATAAGAAATATTTTATACCACATATATTTACCCATGCCCTGTTGGACAAATAAAATACAGACAAACATGAATACGACTGTCGTGATAAGTTGGCAAAGACCTCTTTATTTTCAACTCTTCTTGCAAATATGCTTCAAATTGAGCATCTATGTAATCAACAACAGCTTTAAAGCTATCTTCTTTATTAATTTGGTCTCCATAACCAACTGTATCAACAATGGTAAGCTTTAATCTAACATTGCTCTCTTGCAACTCATAAGTGTGTGCTTTGAGCTTCACAGCAGGAAGATTATGCGGGCTTGGCATAGATTCAAAACTTGTGTTGAAAAGGGAATCCATAAGAGTGGATTTTCCAAGTCCAGTTTCACCTGTTATAAATATTAATAGTTGTAAAAACTTGTAGTTACACATATATGTATTAAAGAGTATTTATCTTACCAATACATAGGATATTAAATACAAATCCATTTTGAACAGATTTATTGACCAATTGATCTGGAAGACTGTCGAATCCAACATGACCAGACAATTTTAAATTACGTATGGTAGATTCCATCTGGAAATATGAAGGGGACATGAGCATTGATCATAATAAGTCGACCGGATATTAGCAGTGCACCATGTAGTTTCCATGTAGGGAGAGCGTTATCAAGAATACTATTGTTATAACAGAATAGAGAACCAACGCCCTTCAGATTATAAACATTGCGCGAATACCATCAAAGGATTAGACACGTGTTTATACATGAAAATGGGTATTTAAACGAGTGATTTCCTCCAATGGAAATAATCGCTAGATATAGCGTAAGATAGGCGGAAAATTCAAAAAAATGACACCTACCTTGGCACGTTCAACATCTGCCGACGCCATTTTTACTGCTAGTGACGCGTGCGTTACTCATGCTATGCCGTAGTTCCCTGTCCGTACACCGCACACATACACATCGTAATTCATTAAATCTACAGTGTTTATTGTAAAAGTAAACACATACACATATACATCGGATGTGTTTCTAGAATAATTTCGACATGCATAAAAGTGGTATTACAAACACGCGACATAAGTGTCAATACTTTTTGTACATTTTATCGGTATCAATCGAGATTATTGAAAACAAATCAATAGTATCATTGTTCAGACGTTTGTATGCAAGCGACAAACCAAACAGCGGCTTCACAAATAATTTATCGTTGCATCATTTTAAAATTTATTCTGTTTCCGCGTATATGACTGTCGTCGTTATTGACACGTTCGTTCCTACAAGAATTTTAGTATTATCTATGCATCTGTAGTGTTTGTATAGACGTTGCTGGTTATGGCAGTCAAAGTGTTATTTTCAATCATAAAATCTATAAAGCAGCGTGCGATATTTGCACGAGTATTGAGCAGTTTGTAAGTCGCGCCATTTCCCCACCACGTGCGGCGCACGCCGCTCGGGTAGGAATTTAAGGGCTCAGTTAGTGTCGGTACTGCGGCCGCGTCGCTAGGGTGTTTCGCGTTGCCGTACTGGCAGGCTCCTCATAACAGTGTCTACTTTGTAACATGGCAGATCAATTTGTGTTGTATTATCATGTGACGGGGAAAAGCTCTCGTTGATAAGACGGTCACTGCGCAAACTATCGTGTATTCTCCTCGCGAGGGAAACGTGTTGTCAGGTTAAATCACCGTCGTAATGGCGGACATGAAAAGTCCACCGTTCAGTGACATTAAACGGCCGGAGGAGGTGGTGGCGATGGCGATGAACGACAGCCTGAAATTCGCCGTGCTGATCGGGCTGATCGAAGTGGGACAGGTGTCGAATCGGGAAGTTGTCAACACCGTGCTTCATCTGGTGAGTAACGCTGAAAATTCACAGATCCGTCTGGCGTGCCGGCTACCGATTTCACCGTCATTCCCGCCGATTTCTCGACATCCGATCGAATCTGTCAGCCGGAGCTGTCAAATCGCGTACGCGACACAACGAACACGGTGCAGTGCGTGATTCTTGCACACGGTCGAACATCGCCGATTCGTCCGATCGAAATCGAGAGTGACACAACGCGAGTAGATGAGAAGCACACTCGACGCGCATCAGTCACGCTTCTTTTTCTTACGCTCACACTTGCGGTTCGACACTAAAAACGTTAACCTGAAAAACGTCTTTAAACGCGATGCCACCTTACCACGGTAAACAAGCCCTTGCTCGCACGTTTCTCTCTGCCAGAACGATTTCCATATGTCTCGTTATCTTTTATCTTTCTATCTTTAAACGCTGTTGATAGCCAAGTGTTCGACCACGCTCGTAAACGAGCTGTTTGTTAATTCTCGCCGCGTTGATATCGTTGCTTCGACTTCGATTCACCGTCGATTCAGACGCGTCCGTTTCCGCTTTCGCGAACGAAGAAAAGTACAATACGTAAAATTACGAGACGCGACAATCGAGAAGCTACTGGCTGGCTAGGTAGTCGCAGACAGTTTACGGTCGCGTTTCTATTGCATAGAATCTATGTATGTATGTGTGTGGTAGTTCAGCGTTGTGCTACGACACGGTGTTTACGCGTTCAGCGTGTCGCATTCACGATGTTGTTCTTATTTCTCGAGAGAGCTCGTATTAGATGCTCCTCCGCGTGCCACGTAGAAAAATACGCTTATCAGCGCTTTCTCGTCGCGCGCACCGTGTTCCCGCGTGGGACGTTCGTTGAAATTTCCGTCGATCGCGCGTTCCATCCGATCGAACATTGCTTCGCTACTCGATGATCGTCCACGATTAAACGTTCGATTCTCGAACATCTTCCGCCGAAATTCGAATTCTTATAATCTGACGTAATACACGACGGCTTAATTATCAAACTTCGGCATTGAAAATTTATCTTAATTCAACATCGAGGTCGCCATCGTTTTTTTTTTTCTATATGATCTGTAAAAAAATATAACGCTGTTATCCCTAAGATGATTTATTCTAATAATTTTCAATTGAAGATCAAAAAAAATTTTCTTTAGTTAAAGTTTATTAAATTTAATAATCCAACTGAATATTAATTTAAATTTTATATTAAGTACAAAAATAAATTAATATAAAATTCTTTAAGGCTCCTATCGTCCCATAAAAAAATTTTAGTAAAATTTTTATAAAATTTTAAATTCATAAAATATATACGAGACGGGATATATTTTATTATTATTTCGATTAAATTATTAAAAATTTTATTGATAAACTGTTCTCATGTTACATGTAGAAATCTTATATTGTTATATTATATTACATTATAATCCTATATATCTCATCTATTATATTATTTATTATATTATTATGTTAAAATTATTATAATTCAATTTTATAATAATTTGAATTGGCATAAACATTCGTGGTGTAATTTGTGAAAAGTAGTTATTGAGATATTGTCCGAGTATGAAGTGCGATGTCTTCATTAGAAACAGAGCAGATTGAAGATTTCACACAGC